AAGGTCAACTGAATTCAGCAGAAACTTGGTTAGAGACCTATATTATGAGATACCTGTAGGTTTCCTACTTTATAATTGTGTTCTTACATTATAATTGGACCCCTAACAACAACGTAAAAATAATTGTGCCCCAAGAGTATTACTCACATTATTCCTTTTTTCATTAATGTACATAGGCTGTGTCTGTGGCACTGAAATTTATTGTTTGGCCTGGAAGCATCGGGTTACAAAGTAAGATAGAAACAAAGCAGAGGAAAACTGGGCGGCATTCAGTGAACCTAGGTTTGAAATGGAAGCAGTAACAGGAGATTCCTGCGGGCTGGATGCCTGTGTGTCTGCCCCTCCCTTATATTGAGATGTGGAGACCCTGTCCCCGAGGTGACAGGATTAAGAGGTGGGGAGCTTTGGGAGGTGATTAAATCATGAGGATGAAACCCTCATGAGTGAGCTTAGTGTGCTTATAATAAGATGCAACAGAGGCTGCATGCCACTTCCAGCATAAGAGGGTGAAGCAAGCAGGCACACACTGTGTGGAAGGGGTCCTTGACCGACACTGTATCTGCCAAAAACTGTATCTGTCTCCAAAACTGTGACAAATAGCTGTTTGTTATTAATAAGCCACCTAGTCATACTTTGGTAAGCAGATTAAGACAGACGTTTTGTGTATTTTCTAGTGTTTTTTTCTTTCAACAGATATACTATGCTAGTTGGAGATCATTTTTAACAATGAAAAACTTACAGAATAAGATGTACATGTAGTGCGTGCCTGGGAGGTTGAGGCAAGAGAATCTCAAGTTAGAGCCTGGGCTCAGCACTAAATAAGAGTGATTTAGTAAAAACCAGTTTCAGATTTAAAAAAAAAAAAGTTGTAGGCTCTGGGTTCAATCCCTAACATTGAAAAAAATATGCAGGTTTAGATATTGTCAGAGAAAAATAAATTTAAGTCTCACAAAGGAAGGTAAAGCTGGGGATATAGCTCAGTGGCACAGTGCCTGCCTGGCAAGTGCAAGGTCCTGAGTTTGACTCCCAGTACAGCACACACGCATACCCCACCCTGCAAAAAAAGAGAAGGTGGTAAAGAGTAACAATTCTTGCTGGGTATAGCGGTGCTTGCCTGTAATTGCAGCCTTTGGGAGGGTAACCATGAGTTCCTAGACCAGCCTGGGGTACAAAGTGGCCGGCCTGGGATATGGAGCAAGACGCTGTCTCCAAAAAACAAGGGGGGGGGGCAGGGGTTGCCTGGCAAGCGTGAGGTCATAAGCTCTATCCCAGGTACAAAAAAAAAAAAAAAAAAAAAATGGAGAAAGAAAGAAAAAAAGATGGGGCTGAGAATTTAGTGGCATAAGTGCCTGCCTGGCAAACTCAAGGTCATGAGTTTGATTCCCAATACAAAAAAAAAAAAAAAAAAAAAAAATTAAGCAACCAAATTGACTTACCGCAATCACATAGGTACCCAAAGCAGACAAAAGAATTCAGTGACTCGAAGCCAGGTGGTTCATTACTTTCAGCACAGCAAGCTGCAGGAGGAGCACCTGATGGTGCCACTTACCAGCTGCCCTGTCCCCAGGCAGCACCATGAGCCTGAGAGGAGGCCATGCTTCAGTGGGTTGCACAGGGCTAAGGATTCAGTGACTCTTATAACAGTGAGCAAGCCAGTCCCTTTCCTGAGAACAAGAAGTCATAAGACAGTTGTGCTGTATTCTCCTCACTCTATTTACTTGACTGCATAGACCCTCACTGAGGGTCAGAGGACAGTGACACCTTAAAATCCAGCACAGCATGGAGATGCTCAGAGCCTATTTCAGGCTGTCTTGCCAGCACAAATTCAGGCTGCAGTGGGCATCTGCCATAGCTAGACATCCATTCCTTTATTTACTCTTTTGCAACCCCCCCCCCCCCGCTTCAATTGGGGAAGCTCATCAGATGCTGCAGCCTTTGCTGAGATGGAAGCCTCTCCTGAAGCCCCAGGAGTATCCTGGGGTCAATGTCTCTTCGATTCTGTCATCTCACTTACATCCTTGCACTGAATTCCTTTTGGTTTAAGTTAAACTCAGTTTTTCTTACAGGCAACCAGAGAATTTGTCTAATATAAAATGGTATTGTTCTCAAAGAGTTCATAACTCCACTGTCTTACTTTTCTCTCATTGCTGAGACAAAAAATTTGCAATGCCCAAAGTTAAAGGTGTGTGGAGGTGTCAGCCCATAATCACCTGGCTCCAAGACAAGATGGAACGGCAGATGGACAACAGCAGGAGACAGCAAAGGCAACAAGAGCAAAGGAGCAAAACAAGCTTCTTTCTGCCCCTTGGTCTTGCATGTAGGTGGGCAGGTGTAGCACTCTCACCACTAATTCCAGCAATAGACGGTGAACCAATCACAAACTCTAGATTCAGCTGTTGCCAAAAAGCCCACTCGGGGCTGGGGATTTAGCTCAGCGGCATAAGCACCTGCCTTGCAAGCAGGCGGTCATGAGTTCGATTCCCGGTACCGATAAAAAGATTTTAAAAAAAGCCCACCCCTTTGGACTGCATGAGGCTTTGGGGGGACATCTAGACACAAACCATAATATCCACCAAGGAGAGACACACGTAAACACATAACTGCAATAGGGTGAGAAATGTGATGATACATGGCACAAACAGGGCACTGGCAGCATAGTAAAACTGCCAGTGAGGTCAAGTGTCTTTAAGACAACAGGTAGAAAAGGCAAGGGAAGCTGTCCTAGGTTGAATGAAAGTACGTGCAAATCCTTGCAGTATGTAAAACATTGCACATTTTGGAAACTACAGAAAATTGGTAGATGGGGTATATATCAACGGGAGCACTGGCCAAGAGGCAAGAGGCAGCTGGAGTGATTGTCAGCGTCCCGGTCATTTCACACCAAACAGTTTGGTTTTATCATGGGGAGCTCTGGTCAGACATATGTTTCAGAAATGTTAGTCTGGAAGGGAAATGAATGGGAAAGGATTGGGTGATCACCGAGGTATGGGCTTTGGAGTTAGACTGGGTTCAAGTCCGGGCCCTCTTATTGGTGTTGATGTGTCCTCAAATCACTTCCTGAACCCCTTTGTAACTTAGGTTATCATCTATAAGATGTGAGAATGAGAGTAACTCCCGGGGAATTGTGGGGTAGACTTAGTGGCCTTTGTCTAGACTTAGTTAGACCTACTAATGTTTGCACATGGGAAGTTTCTGAGGATGTTAGCTGTCATTGTTTTGGTACTGGTGGAGTTTAAGAGCAGGACTGGATTTATTACAGTTGTCTAGAGGCTTAAACACAGCAACAGAAGTGGGGATAGAGACCCTTTAAATGACTGTAAACACATCATATCAGTTAGATAACCATATAGTTTGTTACATATAAGGGTAATTTTCCAAGTTAAATGGCGATGAGGTAAAACAGGAAACAATTGGACAATACAATTTCACATTACTTTCTTCTAAGTTCATCTTCTAGGTGTCCTTCACCTGTACCAACAATAGTCAGCTTATATGATTTACATGATTATAACATGTAAAAAAGAATTTAGGAGCTGAGTATGGTGCCACATGCCTAGCATTTGTAATCCTAGCATTTGGGAGGCTGAGGCAGGAGAATCACTGCAAGTTCAAGGCCAGTCTGTGCTACAGATGAGTTCAAAACCAGTCTCAGGTACATAGTGAGACCCTGTCTCAAAAAAAATTTTTAGTTTTTTTGTTTTGTTTTGTTTTCAGGACAGGGAATTGAACGCAAGGCCTTCACTCTGAGCTACATCTCTACCTGGCCCTTTTGACAGGGTCTCACTAAGTCACTAAGTTATCCAGTCTGGGCTCTAAATTATGGTTCTCCTACCTCAGCTTCCCAAAGTGCTGGAATTACACATTGTTATCATCATACATGTCTTTTTTTTTTTTTTGAGGAGGGTGAGATAGAGTCTTGATATGCAGTCTGGACTAGAACTCATTATGTAGCCCAGGCTGGCCTCAAAACCACAGAGATTCTCCTGCCGCAACCTCCCAAGTACTGGGACTGCAGACATGCACTACCATACCAGGCTTGTTTTGCATTTTCGATGGAGACTGGAGGAAGCCCATAGATGTTAGATATCCTCTCAGCTCAGATGTCTTTTCTGACACAATCCAGCCAGGATTTCTTGTTCAGCTCAACTGAGCAAGCACAAGAGTAAGGGTCCTTTCTTCCTGAATAACACAGGGTATGAGCTACAAGAAAGCAGACCCTGCTGCTTTTATTTGCAGATTAACTGTCTCAAACATGATGTCAACCTCAATGGACTTCCTATGTCTCCAAAATAGAGCTCAGCAATTCTCCCATGCCCCGCCCCCCCGAAACAGGAAACTTGTTCATCTGTCTTGTTCTCTCCGTCCTCAGTACTAAGTAGTGTGTGATGTCAAGCAAAAGCTTGACAAATATCCACTGAATGCTGCACTGGCATATTGTAAGTGGTTCCTACTTGCCTAAAACATGGTCAAAGCTCCTGCCTCATCCCTGACATGCAAAAAGAAACCAACGTCTTTGTTTCCATTAGGTCCTGGAGAGGAACAGTGAGGTCAGGGAGGGCTTCCTGGGTGGCCACTGTGCTCCTTACCACAAGCCTGTCTTTATGAGCTGTCCAAATTCTGCTGGCCCAAGTCTGTGTGGAGTTTCTACCACAGAGGTCGGGTAGATGAAGACTCGATTCTTTCTTGAGATGAGGGAAAAGACACAAAAGTATTTCCCATTTGGTCATCATCCTTCTCAGGATTTCTTTCATTTTGGGCTTGTAGCAAAGCCCTGCCTCTCTTTCCCCAATCCCCTTGAAAAAGGAAGTTGGATTTCTCCCTAGAGTCCATCTCCTTGGCACTGGCTTTCTTGGCTAGGGTTGGTGGCTCTGGAGTTTCAGTTAAGCAGACAGCAATTCTTTCCCACTGACTTTCCCAAGGAGCCAGTGCCTTATTCCTGGTGAGACCCTCCCCAGCTCAGAGCTCCCAGTGCCAGAACCCACAAGAGTCGGGGACTCGCTTGGAGGTTTATTGGTGGAAGTACAGAGGCATCTTGCTATAAGCATCATCTTAGCTCCCTGTGGCCAGTTGGCCACCACGGAACCAGCTTTGAAGGAGACATCGCGATGCACAGAAGACAGGGACGATCACTTGCTCTGACTGATGTTAGGGTCCCAGAAAGTTCTCCCCTAGAGAACTGGCTACAGGGGCCTGCAAGAGGTGGTCGTGGGGGTCATCTTGTTCCCAGAGGCTGTGGCTCAAGGTAGCTCTCATGGGTATGTTGACACTGACTGGCGACGCCACTGGTGAGGGTGTCTTGTTGCAGCTGCTGGAACTGTCTATTTTGATGGCAGTCTTGGTGCTTCTGTGGGAGCCCAGGAGTTTCAGGGTCATTGAGAGCAACGGAAAACAAAACAAAACAAAGTAAGATGTAAGTTAAGATGTACGTTAGATCCTTTTTTCTTTTTCAGCAGTATTGGGGATTGAACCAAGGGTCTTTGTCCTGAGCTACAGCTCTGGCACTTTTCTTATTTTTTATTTAGACCCAGGGTCTTGCCAAGTTGCTAAATTACCCAGATTAGACTCAAACTTGCCATCCTCTGCCTCAGCCTTCCAGCGTGCTGGGATTACAGGCATATGCCATTGTGCCTGACTTCATTTTCAAATTGTATCTTTTACAGCATGGGTGCCTTGAATGCAGATGGAGATAAGGAAAGGAAGGGTAGTGACAGTATGCATACATGGTGTGACATACCTAAGAGCAATCAAGAATAGAAAGCCAAAGAAGAGTCAGACTGGAGCAAAGGTTGCCCAATTGCAGAGCACCAGGTAACTCCACATTGGCAGCCTGCTCTGAAGTGCGGTGAGCCCAGTTAGGACTCAAATGCAAAGTTCACACCCACTGGATTAGCTTCAGTGCAAAGAAAATCTTGAAACAGTTACCTGAAACGGTAAAACTTAAATTTAAAAAGCACATTCCCAGTACTCTGGGAGGCTGAGGCAGGAAAATCACAAATTTGATCCTAGCCTAGGAAACTTAGTAAAAGCCTATCTTAAAATAAAAATTAAAAATAGGTCTAGGGATACAGCTCAATATGAAAGCCCTGGGTTCAATCCCTGGTACATCATACAGCACACACACACACACACACACACACACACACACACACCACAGGTCACAACCACTTAGTAACTAGGAAAATATATGTGTGGCTATAAATATTTTTCAAATCCTAATTAGAAGAGAAAAATATTATTTTAAAAGAAAATAGAAACTACAAGAAAACAAAAAATTTACACTATCTGCAGAGATTAAATGCAATGAATTTTTCCTTCAAATCTATTTTATTTCAAAGAGAAAAAAATAAAATTTCAAAACACAACAATCAAGGGACAATAATGGTACATACATTGCACATTGCCATCTCCAAATCAGTCACCCAAAGCACAAAGACATCTACATCCAATTGTCCAAACAGAGCCAGGGGAAACAATACAGTGTTTACACATACATGTCTGATTTATTTCACTTATGAATATGGACTCAAGTGGTATTTATTTACCCATAAAATCTCGTTTGTCTTTCTTTATGGTCGAATAGTATTCCATTGTATAAAAGTACCACAGCTTTATCCATTCCTCAATCAATGAGCATTTACGTTGTTTCCAAAATCCAGCTATTACAAACCATGCTGCTATGAACATGGGTACACATATATTACTGTGGTACAATGTTTTTAATTCTTCTGGGAAGATACTCAGAAGGAGAACAGTTGGGTCAAATGGGACTGCTAATCCTATTTTTTGAGAAATCTCCACACTGATTTTCACAGTGGTTGCACCAGTCTACACTCCCATCAACAGTGGAAAAGAGTTCCTTTTTCCCCACAGCCTCTCCAACATTAACAAAGTGGTTGATTTCTTGATGGTAGCCATTCTTTCTGAGGTGTTGTTTTAATTTGCATCTCTTGAATGACAAGTGATATTGAACATTTTTTCATATATTTTTTGGTATTTGTATTTCTTCATCTGAAAAGTATACATTCATCTAAGATGCCCATTCCTGGATTGGGATTTTAAATCTGGGAGGATTGATTTTTCTGAATTCTTTATATGTTCTTGATAGTAATACTTTGAGAACAGCTGACAAACCTTTTCTCCCACATTGTGGGTTATCTCTTCACTCTGTTGGTGGCTTCTCTTGCTGTGAAAAAGTTTTCCAATAAGATAGATCTCAGTTGTTGATTCTTTGTGACAGTTACTGTGCAATCAGGGTTTTGTTCATTGCCTACACCAATGTCTTCAAGAGTTTTACCCACTCTATCTTCCAGCAGATTTAATGTTTCTGTTTTAATGTTTAGATCTTTGAGCCATTTTGAGTTTAATTTAGTGCATGGTGAAAGATATGGGTTCAGTTTTAATTTTTGGCATGTGTAGAGCCAGTTTACCCAGAATCATTTATTAAAGAGGCTGTCATTCTTCCAGTGATTTTGTTTGGCACATTTGTCAGAGATAAGGTGGCCTGGGATGGGGATTTAGCTCAGCGGCATAAACGCCTGCCTGGCAAGTGCTAGGCTGAGTTTGATCCCTGGTTTGATGTGTCTGGAGTTATTTCTACATCTTCTAATCTGTTCCATTTATTGTTGAGTTTTTATCATAGTAGCTTGTTTTTATCATAGTAGCTTTATAGTATAATTTCAAGTCAGGGATTGTGATAGCCCCTATCTTGTCTTTGTTGCCTAGGATTGCCTTTGCTATTCTAGGTATCTTCTGGTTCAGATGAATTTTAGGATTGTTTTCTCTAATTCTGTGAGATATGCTATTGGAATTTTGATTGGGATTGTATTGAACCTATATAACAGTTTTATAAGTATGGCCATTTTTGCTATATTGGTTCTTTCTACCCAAGAGCATGTGATATCTATTTTGTAATATCCTCTTCAGAGAATTATAGTTTTCAAAATAGAGGTCTTCTACATCCTTTGTTAGACTGATTCCTATGTATTTCATTTTTCTAGATGCTATTGTGAAAGGTGTTGTTTCCCTGATTTCTTTCTCAGTAAACTTATTGTATACAGGAAGGCCATTAATTTTTGAATGCCAACTTTGTATCCAGCTATGCCACTGAATTTGCTTATTAAATCTACCAGTTTTTTAGTGGAGCTGTTAGGATCATCTATGTAGAGTATTATGTCATCAATGCAATGAAATTTTTTAGTGAAAAAAAATTTAGGGGCATTTAGTAGAAGAATCACAATGTGGCAAAATAATCTAAAAGCTTCTCTGCAACAAAATGCCTAGAAATTCACGAACACCCTCCTGTGTTCTGCTGGACACAGGACACCATTCTGCTGTCCATGCAGAGCCTGCTAGCACAACCCAACATCAATAGCCCTGGAACACATAAGCTGCCAAGCCCTGGACATTTTTCAAGTGTTTAAGAAGCACCTTCCAGAAACTTATTTGGGACGAGTGTCCAGCCATGAGCCCCGACTGGGGCTTCTCTTTGTGGAGTGCTTTTTTCCTAAGTCTGTCCTTTTCTTGATTTCTGTATATGAGCCTGTCTTGAGCTGTGGTTTTTATGGCTTTTTTTGTTTGGTCTTGTTTTTTTTTTTTTTTTTTTTTGTCTTTTTGAGACAGGGTTCTCACTATGTAGTTCAGGCTGGTCTTGAACTCACTTTGTAACCCAGGCCGGTCTTAAACTCACAATAATCCCCCTGCATTAGCCTCCCGAGTGCTGGGATGACAGGTGTGTACCAGGAGGCCAAGCAGGTTTATTTTGTTTTAATTCTTTTTACAAATTATTTTATTTATTTATTTATATATTTTTAAGACAGTGTCTATTTCATTCAGGCTGGCCTTGAAATCACTATGAAGCCCAAATTGGCCTTGAATTTGCTGTGACCCTCCTGCCTCAGTCTCCTGAGTGCTGGGATTATAGGCCTGGGCCATCACACCTGGTTTACCCTCCAAACTGTACTTATTGAATATGTTGGTTGCACTCACTAGCTTTGGAATTTCTATCACTTGTTACTGAAAAGATCTAATATGATTAGATGGTAAATTAATAGCACTTGGGAGCTAGGGGTAATCTTCATGTTATTGTCCATTCTGTTCATTTTCCAGAAGTAGGTAAAGCAAAGAGAAGTAGAGTTTTGCCCAAAGCGACAGTCAACAGCTCATTGCCTGAGCCTGATTTTTTAGCTTATATGCCTTGGGATTAATTTACTCAGCCCTCATTCATTTTATGAACTGCTGAAAAGACTGAGGTTTCCCTAAGAAATGAACATGCAGGTCAGAGACTTGAAGGTCAAAAACCCTGTCTTCAAAGACAGGCTGGCAACGAAGGTGAGGGCCGGTCACATGCACATCTAGAGTGAAGGGCAGGAACAGGGATGGCTGGGAGAGGGTCCACCAGGGCAGTGACTGCACGCTGGGGGAAGACACTGGAGAAAACCACACAAGACCCACCTGTCTGCTGTGAACTGAGTCCTTCCAGAGAGTTTTGAGAAACTGCCGCTGGTCTGCTCAGCTGCCAGCAGCAGGAGGGTCTCGCTGGGTTGGGTGGACCCAGGAAGGCTGCTCTCGGGCTGTGTGGAGAAACGTAAGTCAGAGGGCCAGGCTGCTCACGGAGCTCATGAAGAAGCTCCGCCTCTTCAGGTGGAAACCTGAAAGAATTTGTGGGATTACGCTGGAGTTTTGCATCCCAGCTCTGGGAAATTGTTCCTTAAACATTAGGCCCCAGGATCACCGGATCAGTAATGGGGGATCCCTGATAGGATTATGTCTTCTCTCTGATGGGCTCTGGAGACTACTCTGTCCAGAGCATAAGATCTGGATTGCATGAGCTAGGTATAGTAATGCATGTCTATAATCTCAGCACTCAGGAGACTGAGGCAGGAGAGTTTAAGGCCCGCCTGGGCTACATAGTGAGTTCAAGGCCAGCCTGAACTACATAACAAGATCCTGTCTCAAAACAAAACAAAACAATACAAAAAAGCCTGAGTTGCAAAGTGGCTAACTTTTTCTATTTTTTGGTTGGAGAGGGGACAATGTCTTTCCATATAGTTCAGGCTGGCCTTGAACTCCATGTCCTCAAATGCACGGTGATCCTCCTGTCTCAGCTTCCCAACTTCTGGGATTATAGGTATGTGTCACCACACCTGGAACTGGCTGATTTTCAAAATTAATAATAACATACCTGATATATACAATTTAATGAGAGGAGCAAAGCATTTAGGTTCTGAAATCTAAGGTCTGGGGCAATCCAATCTGTCAGGATTTTTTTCCTGGTGCTTTTTCTTATTGTTGTTTGTTTGTTTATTAAAACAGGGTCTCACAAAGTAGTTCAGGCTGAGTCTGAGTTCTCAATGATCCTCCTGCCTCAGTCTCTTGAGTGCTGAAATTACAGACATGCATCCCTTGCCCAGCTCTCTGCGTCCTTATACTAAGCAAACTCTGGACCATCTTTATGGGTATCAAAAATCACCAAGGGCTGGAGATGTAGCTCAGTGGTAGATCACATGTATAGTATGCATAAGCCCCTGCATCCAACCCCCAGCAATACAAAGAAAGAAGAAAGGCAAAAGAGGTAAACAGGTAACATCAACAACAACAACAAACAGGAAATGTAATCTATAAAAACATAGCTGGCAAACTCATTGGAAATCAAAGGTGCCATATTTTATCTATCATATTAGAAAAAAACAATTTAAACACTACTCAATTGTGATAACGATACAGTGCCTATTCAGAAAAATATCTATGATATAATGTAAAGTAAAAATCCAGCAGTCAGTAATATACACCCTTGTCCCTTAGCAACCATTAGGACTGATTCCAGGACTCCCCTCTATTACCAAAATCCACAGATGCTCAGGTCCTTATGTAGAATGGTGTGGTATTTGCACATAATTAATACACATCTTTCTACTTTAAATCAAGCCCACGTTACTTATCATACCTAACACAATGAAATTAGTTGCTAGGTTATGTTGTTCAGGGAATAAGGACAAGGAAAAAAGTCTGACAAGTTCAGTACAAATGCAATTTTTTTCTGAATATTTTTGATGCAAGGCTGGTTGAATCTATAAATGTGGAACCTACAGATACAGACCAACTGCATTTTTGTGCATGCATTGTAGACACACACATGCACATGCACGGGCCCAGACATAAACACACACATGGGCACATCTATGCTTAGTTTACTGCAGGCTGCCCAGCGAGGCCCCACTCACTGTTGTTTCGGTGGAGAGTCCGGTCAGCTTGGGCACCAGGCAGTGAGTGAAGCGGATTCTTGGGTCTTTGGTGGTGATGGACAGACCTTTCCGGAGAATTTTCACCAAGCGGATCCAGAACTGAAACACGGCCTCTGGATGTTTTTCATGGAGCCTCAGGTAATAGATCTTTTCAGTCACTGTCCTGACCCGCAGGATGCGTTGGAGTCGGTCGCAGATTTGTAGCTCCACATACCTCAGGGGCAGAATCCTGGGTATAATCAGGAAATAGAGAAAGCTCTTGTTCTGAGTTTGGGAAGACTAAGACTGATGCTTCTCTGATTTCTAGGACTTCAGTTATTAAAGAACCCTCCCACATTAATAACAAAAGTTGCTGCTGATATCTAATCTCTCATTAAATTCTCACAACAACCCTCTGATAAGGGAAAAATATATATTGTTACTTCACAAATAAGTACGTCATAAATTTTGAAACTGAGCTTTGGAGAAGCTCAGTAGAGTCTCAAGTTTAGGTCTTAGTAAGCGGGACCTGATTCCATCTCCAGGCCCTCGTTCTCACCCTGATTACTTGTGTGGAAAGGGAAGGAAATGGATGTGCCTTTTTTTTCAGTCTCACAATTCCCTAGTCCTGTTGACTTTCACATCTCCGTTGTTTCTCTTTGGAAATGCCCTGCATTAATATTGACAAAATAAAATAGGTATGTGGTGGCGCATGTCTATAATTCCAGTAATGGGAGGCTGAGGCAGGCAGGAAATTTGAGTTCTAGGCCAGTCTGGGATACAAAGTGAGTTCAAAAGGGCAACTTGATCTGCATAGCGAGACCCTGTCTCAAAAAGACAAAACAAAACAAAGCACCTAAAAAAACAAAACAAAAACCACATTCCAATCTCAAACCCAGTTGCTTTTTGTCTCTCTTTTTTAAAGAATATCAGCCTCTTTTTAAAAATTTATTTATTGTTTCAAAATTTATTTTATTTTTGAGATAGAGTCTCTTTTATGCAGGTCAGGCTGAACTTGAACTCATTCAGTAGCTGACACTGGCCTTGAACTTGTGGCAATTTGCTTGCCTCAGCGTCCTAAGTGCTGGAACTACAAGTGTGTGCTTGTAGGCCATGAGTTCTAGGCCATGCTGCTCCATCTCCATACCATGCACAGTGCTTGTACACATAGATGCTAGCTAGATGTTTGTTACATGAATGCAAAACAGGGTTCTACATAGCTTACAGACTAAAGAATGCTGTTGTTGATTATAAATGATGACAGGAAGGGATTTGTCTCTCTATTCTGACTACATTCTTGATAAATCAGAAGGAAAATAACCCAGGCATTTTGCAGTTTTCAGATGGTGACCAATGAATGTCCCTGAAAGTATTTATTCAGACCAGAAGCAGCTGCTCTGAAATGGGAATCTAGATTTCCTGGCCCTGGAGGAAACCGCAGAATATGATGGCGCTGTACTGCGGACTCCATCGCTTAAAGGAAGATTTGATTCATCAAAGGAGGATGTGTGATTTATGAGTCAGACCTTTGTCTCTGGGTACTACTTCCCAAGTAAGCAAGCTAAAGAATTTCTCATTTATAAAATTATTTGCAAGTTTTGTAAATGGGGAGAGAAGGAGAGCTGAAGGGAGGGTAGGGGACCAGGACAAAAAGACTCTCAAGCTATATTGTGTACAGGTACAAATTCCCTATGATGAATGTGATCATTATGTATAATATCTAAGATGTACCAATAAAATCTGATAAAAATAATGTATAATATATTATGTATTTATAATATAATCATCAATTTAGTTACTTATGACTTATTTCATGAATGAGATGTTTTAATAAATCTCAGTTTTTTCCTTTCATTTGGGTTATAAATTATCTAATATTCCTGGTGAAAAAAACAGAACAAATTAAAGTGAAAAGACCACTGTCTTTCCGTCTAATCTAAAATCCAGCTGCAGGGCCAGGGATACAGCTCAGAGTGGCACAGTGCCTGCCTGAAAAGCAGGTCCTGAGTTCAATTCCCAGGACCAAAAAATAAAATAAAATAAAATCCAGCTGTAGAATGATGCATAAATAAGTCAACAGCTGCCCCCTGCCCCCGTCCAGCCTTTCTTTACCTGCTGAGCGTGATAACTGGGCCAACTCCAGGTGTGTTCCAGGTGGAGCATTCACCCTGGGGCCAGGTGACGTTGGCCATCAGGAGGACATTGGGGAGTGGCAAGGAAGGTACTGAGGAGGTCACCCCGAGGATCACTGTGGCAGAGTCTTCGGAAGCATTCATCCATTTTCCAGGCTTAGTGACCTGAAAATTAGCCCCAGGTCCAGAGTCACAAAGAGTGGAAGGATACAGGTGTCAGAAAAGGACACTTCAGCTTGGTGAAAGGTCTGTGGCATGCCAGGCTGGGCCACGACTTTCTACTGGTCTTTTTTGTTAGTCTCTCCAAACAGACTTTAAGCTCATTGGCAAAAGCAACTTCTTTATGTCCTCTGCATTGTCTAGCTGTATAAAGATGCATTGGTAAGTAAAAGCCGAGTGACATGGAAAGTTTTACACTCCTCCCTGGTACACAAAGCCTCTATCACTTTCTAAAGGGCTAGAAGGAAATAGTACAAAGAAGTCCCTAGAAGAGGAGGAGAACCTGTCATGCGGGGATGACCCAGGGGGCTCAAGTTGAGGGCAGTTTGGGAACCTCCCTTGGGGCAGGGGAGAGACAGTGGGGAGCTGGGTCTTCAGTATCCTGAGAACCTGTTCTGAAGCACCCAGAGACCGAAGCAGGACAGAGAGGCTGGAGGCCTTGATGAGACACAGCATCTCAGCTCAGAGACAGAAAGTCTCCAGAGCCGTCTCACTGAGGAACCACAGGGGCCAGGACGGTTGAGAAGAGATCCCTGTCTTCCCAAGACCAGTGGCCTTCTCCAAATGTTATACACTTTGTAAAGCTGTCAGAACCTGGCACAGCTCCTGGTGAAATTGGGGACAAGGAGAAAGCTCTAGGAACAACTGAAATTTAATTCTCACCAGCCTGAACAGATAGTGCTCCAAGAGAAATGAATTTTGATTTTGAGGGAAGAGTGACATTTCTCAGAGCCCATTTTATGGAATGAAATTCACATTCTTCCTAGAATAGAAGACTTCACATATTGAGAGTAAGTTCTCAATGAATGTTTGGGGCTGATGCTGTTTCGGGGTGGTGGTGGCAGAGGACTTGCTGATGCGGAGGTGAGGGGAGACAGGAAGCAGGGAAATGACGTCAGAACTGTAAGTCTGCAGGTCAGATCATTTCAAGTGACCTCTGGTGGTGGGCCTACCTCTCCCTGGCACATTCTGAATTTTCTCCTGCCTGGATCCGTTAATGTCCACTCAGAGAATATCAGCAATTTTAATATTAGTCCAGAAATAAAATACAAGAACACATTTGATGCCAAAACATCACAACCAAAGAGAAAAGACTAGTAATCAGAGCCCAAGGCCAGCTGTGGTGGTGCACCCTGTAATCCCAGCACTCGAGAGCCTGAGGCAGGAAGATTGCTGCAAGTTCAAGACCAACCTGAGCTACGTAGTGAGTTCAGGACCCGCCTGCACTACACAGGGAGATTCTGTCTAAAAACCAAACCAAACAAAAATAAAACAAAACAGAAAAAAGAAATTGGAAGCTGAGTCTGGATCCTGTCTCTGTTTCTTCTCCACCAGTGATAGCAGTGAGCTCACTCCAGGCATGCCAGCAAGTTCCCTATTTGTTCCCCTGGGGCTGCAACGGGCATGGAGCACTAGGAGCCTATGAACAAGCTCTCCCATGCTGGGGGCCACAGTAGATCTCTGTGCTCTATGAAGAGCTTCCAAATTAAGCCCCAGGGGTCCCACATTCTGTCCTACAACTCTGTGCCACTTTCCTACCCCATTCAGGTGGGCTTCTATCCTACAGACCCTCTGTGCATTCGAGCCTTCCTGGATCTTCAAATGCTGTCTGGAACACCCTTTCCCTTCTTACCAAAGTCTCAGAAATCTATCAAAGAGGGCCTGAGACCCTGTTACATTGGAGGCTGTCTGCAAGTGCCAAAGTCCAGAGGGAATGCCTCAAATGCCACCAGCTCCTTCTCTCTGTTCTCACGCCATGGAGATCAGCTGGTCCAAATTCGCTGACATAGAGAGTTTGAATAGTTGCTATTTTATGGTACCTAGTAAACCAAAACATAAGCTTCTTTCCCAAAATGATGTGGTATTCTTTGCATGTCCTGGGCTGTGCACAGTAGGTATTTAATATGTGCTTGCTCAATGGCTAATGAGCACAGATGAACAAAGTCAAGCTAGAGGCTGTGCAGGAGGCAGGCAGCATCCGGAAAAGATTTGATACATATTCAGACAACCGTCCCATACTCTGGGCTTCCCTAAGTCACAGATGCTTGCTTCCACTGGTCATATCACCTCTGTTTGGAAGGGTGCCAGGACTGAGGAAAGGCCAATTCTCCTAGAGCAGTGATAGCATGTGAGTCACAGCAGACACACACAACCCTCTGTCAGCACAAGAGCCAACTGTATGAATTGATTTTTCTAAATTAAAACCTCAGCATTCATGTTTAATTGCAGTGTTGGCACTTTGGAACAAATAAATGGGTTCTGGGTTGCAGCTGGGCCCTCAGTCTCTCAAAGTTTCACCATCACTGACCTAGGCCCTTGTTTGCAAACACAACTATTTCTCAATCATGCCAGAGAAAGCAGGTTGGATCTCAGAGCAGTTTCCTATAGCAGCCTTCATTCTCTGAAACCACCCAGAAGTCCTGGATGAAGCCCTGTGGTCTGCCTCTAGACAGAGCTCTGGTACCATCTCTATAAGGTCTTAATGTGGTTTCTTAAAGCACATGACCTACCTGGAGTTCCTTCAAACTGGGGACATAAAGTGACATGAACTTGGGACCCAGACCCTCGGTTTTGCTCCAGCTTTAGTGGCTTCTTTCTTTTCCCTAGGGCTTTCAAAGTTGACAGCATTTTCTGACCAAGGCTGACCAACAGTTTTTGGAAAGGGGAAGAGAGCTGGCTCTAAAATGCACAGGGATACCTGGATAAAGTTGCTTTCAAACACCATTGAGTTGGAGAACAAGTTGAATTCTGGAGAACGAATCAGTTGACAAAGAAGGCCATTTTCCACCCCAAGTTCCACTCCAGAGCATGGTTCCCTGACCTCAGGAGAGAGGCCCCTAATTTTACTCATCGGTTCTTGGGAAGAATGGGCTGGGGAACATCTCTGGGGCCCCGCGTAGACCCAGCCCAACTCCAAGGTGTTGGTGTAACCGCTTGTCCCTCCTCCTCCACAGCTCCACCTGCCTCCTCCCTTACAGGGTGTCCACCTGTGCTGGGAGGGCCTGTCAGCTCACAATGGCAGGAATGACATCAAGTAGTATGATGGGTAACAACAGGAAAGGGCAAAAAAGAAGAGGACATGAAGGGCAGGGCACGTGAAGGACCCCTTTCTACTAGCTACAAAACAGCAGTGAACTAGCCTGACCCATTTCAATCTTACCTAAAGGAGGAGGAAAATGATGCAGACTCCCCCAAGATTATACCAAGGCAGCCATCACCTGGCCAGGGCAGCAAGGAAGGTTCTGGCAAGCCCACAGTCTTTAGTCTTCTGCTCTCATCATGAACACTTTCTCCACGAGACAGGAGGAAAGAGGTACTTTCTGTATTTTTCTCTCACAGCTGCCCCAAGCACCTCACTGCAGCCAGCCACAGCTAGTTCAGCTGCCCCCTGGCTACTCTGAGAGACGTTTGTTTTGGCTGTAGCAAGCTTCCTTCATAGGTCCAGCCCAGCTGACTCCACCCTCTTTGGATGACCCTGTCCTCTGTGGCCGTTGTTAATCTGGCCTTGAGGAGCCCACCTCTACCCATAACTAAGAAAGCCTGAAGTTAGCTGGCAGGACACTGCATATGAGCCCACTTACTGCTTCTCCATAAGCAACCTCCCTGTACGCTTAGCAGCTCAGTCTGTGCTGGTTGTGAGTCCTAATAAAGCCTCTTTTGGATGATGTATTTTTGCCTTTTCATGATTTCTATCTTGATTAGAGCAGGCTGAGCTGGTACACCAAGAGCTGGTAGCACTAAAGGATGCTGGCACAGAAAGCAGCTGGCAGCCAGGGTTGGTAATACTAAGGGTGACTAGCCGCCAGGGAGGATGGAGAACACTGGAGAGTTGCCAAGGGCCACCATCTTCTGCTCCAGAAGAGCTCCTTTGGGCTGCCAATGCTGCTGGCTCTGGCTGGCATAGGAGTGGCAGAGGGGCACTAACACTAAGAGCTGATAGCTACTGGCAATCAAAACTAAGGGACCCTAACATCAAAAGAGCTACACTATGCTGAATTGTGATTTCTATCTGAATTGAGTAAAGAACCCTCTGCCCATTGTTCCCCTAAAGTCAAGCCTGACCTATACAAAGTCTAAGGGTAGGGAAAAGGGAATTAATTTCCCAGCTCCATTTCATGAGATAAAATGAGATTAAAAGTAATCATCAGGCTGTTATTAACAGAGACTTGTCTATTTAGAAACTGGACAAAGCAGGAAGCTCTTCCCCACCAAATGAAGCTACTGTTAATTTCTTTTTTAAAAAATCTTTTATTATTTTGAAGGTAGTAAAATACAACAGAACAAGATAGAACAAAGCCAATTGAGACAGTGCAGTGAAACTGGTACAGAACTTCACAGCAGGTTCCCGGAATAACAGTAATAGATATGTATCTTCACAATAGTTGTCCTTTCAATCAGGTATAGCAAAATAAAACAAATTACAGAACATTAAAGAACTTATCAAAACAGAGTATTGAATAGAGCAATACAATTAATCAGAACAAAGCAAAACAGTGATAACAATATTCACCTTCAAAGAGATGGTAAAAGGAAATCTCCCATATTTGCTATATTGCATATAGTCAACCTGCCAAGAGATTCTCAGACCTCTGGCTCCCGTTTGCTACTGCGGACGAGGCAGAGGCGGGATGTTTGATGTCCACCCATATGCTGGTAGGCTCGTAGCTGCTTCCCAGGGAGGCAAGCTGGTTACTTGGTTTCCCAGCACCCTAAGTTCCAACGCTGGGTGGTTCTCCCCCTGGGATGCTACTGTTAATTTCTTATCTTCTTAGAACATCTACATACACTAACTTATATACCTAGAAGCAATGTTTGAGAATTCATACTTCTCATAGCTCCACCACTTCCATGTCACCCAACTTCTAAACTTTGAATCTAAAAGAAACCCTATGCTGTACTGCCAGCTGTCCTGGGACTGAAGCCAGGGCCTGTATAATGATTTATAGCCCCAGTTCTTTATTTTTTATTTTGAGACAAGGTCTCACTAAGTCACTAAGTTGCTCAGGCTGGACTTGAACTTGTTATTCTTTTATATCAGGCTCCCAGAATATACTACCACATCTGGTTTTGGGTGGAAAAATTTTAAAAAGATACATTAATGTAATTTTAACTGGTTGTTTTCTCATTTATTTCACTTCTTGTTTTTCTATTTCTTCTATGAATTTTCTCCTCATAACTTTTTTAAAAGGCCTTTTGAGACAGGATCTCATACATAGTAGAGGCCAACCTTAAACATACTGACTTTGAACTTATGATCCTTTTGCCTCAGAGTCTTGAGTGCTGGTATTACACCCATATACCACCACATTCAGCTTCAATTCTTAGCATTGGTCAATTTTTCTACATTATTCACCTTTTTAGAATCTATTCATAGGCATTCTTTTTGTATTGGAAAGATTAGTTCTTTTGTATGTGAAATAAACTGTATTTTTTTCTAGTTTGTCATTTGTCCCTCCCCCCCATTTTTTTGGTACTGAGAATCGAATTTAGGACCCCATGTTGGCAGGCAGGTGCGGTGTGCTGAGCTCTAATCCCTAGCCCTGTCATTTGTCTTTGAATTGGTTTATAGTGGTTTCTGCCATGTGAAATTCCTTTTATAATTTTTATCAATGTTCTTCACAGATGGCTTTTAGAATTTTGCTTATTTTGAAAACTACTCATTCCAAGCTTATGTGACAATTTCCTCATGCTTTCTTGTAGCACTTTGTTTTGTTTTGTTTGTTTGGTTTTTTTGGAGACAAGGTCTCACTATGTAGCTGGCTTTGAACTCTCTGGGATCCATCTGCCTTAGCCTCTTCAGTGCTGGAGTTATAGTCAAGAGCCACCACACCTGACTCCTGTGTTTCTTTTATAGTTGTATAGAGTATGTTACATCTTTTTGTCACTGATGTGACATTCAGTCATTGAACAAATATTTATTAAGCATTTACTATATGCTGAGCATTATCTTAGGTGTACTGAATACATCAATAAAAAAGCATACGTTTTGCAAGGTTAGACAAAATAAACACAGCAAACAACATATATTGTGTTAAAAGATTGGCAGTGTCATTTGTTTAAAAAAGGAAGAAGAGGAGGAAGGGGGAGAGAGAAGAACAAGATAAGAGAGACCAGAAATGCTAGTGAGTGGTGATAGGTTATGGTATTAAATAGGGTTACTGGTTTAAGCCTGACAGATTTATGACAACTATACCACCTTTGTAATAACCAAAAGTAGCAGGGGATTTAGCTCAGTGGCATAAGTGCCTGTCTGGTAAGTACAAGGTCGTGAGCTTGATTCCTGGTACCAAAAAAGAAAAAAAATAATAGTTATAGCCAAAAGTCTTCACTACTATAGCCTGATTTCATCATTTATTTAAATTCCATTGACCTACAGCTAGCTCCACACTATTTTAAATACTGATCAGGTTATTTTAGTTTAGTTTAGTTTTTTTGAGACAGAGTCTTCTTGCTGTATTATCCAGGCTGACCTCAAACTCATGAAATTTCTGCTTTAGCCTCTTGAGGGCTGAAGGGGATTGTTAAAAAATTATATTTAATTTAAATTTCAATTTTTATTAGTACATGTTTAGAGTATAATACATCGTGGGAAGTTGGTACATGTACAACACATCTTAATTCTCTTCTTCCTCCTCCTTTGTTTTAATTTTTTGAGACAAGTTTTGCTAGGTAGCACAGGCTGGCCTCCAACTCATGGCAATCCTCCTGCCTCAGCTCTCTGGGTGCTGGGATTACAGGTGTACACCACCACAGCCAGCTCATCTTAATTATTTTTACCTCCTTTAGCCCTTTCCTCCTCCTGAAGAAGATAATTTTTTAATATATTTGAAGAAATATTGAATAGGTTTTAAAAAAATTGCAATAACATAAGCAATTGTTTATAATTGGTTTCTTGTCCTTGTATAAAATTCATAAAAAGACTTTCACAATAATAGCTGACAGAAAGTTGATCATTAAACAAATTACTAACATTAAATTCATAAAAGAAATACCTAATTATAACTGCCAAGTATGAAAGTGATACACAGTTACAGTGCTAATGTCATTGTGCTGCTAGTCTGTATCATAGTGCCACTTTTTTCCTCTTTCTTTTTTAAGACAAGGTCTCACTATGCAGTTCAGGCTGACCTTGAACTCACTTTGCAGCCCAGGCTGGCCTCAAACTCGCAGTGATCCTCCTGCCTCAGCTTCCTGAGTGCTAGGGGTACAGGTTTGCACCACCATGTCAGGCTCTGTGCCTCATTTTCAAGATTAGAATTTCCCTATAATTCTACAATTCTCAATCCAATACCAGTTTTACCACTGATTTTAAAATTAGAACATGCCAGGTGATCAGGTTTATAATCCCAGCATTTGGGAGGAGAATTGCTGTGAGTTTGAGGTCAGCCTGAACTACAAGACCCTGTGTGAAAAATTCAAAAAAATTTAAAAAGATAAAAGAAACCAGAAGGAATATAGTATGACTTTAAAGTTATTTAGGAATATTTATATCTTGGGATACAGCTCAGGGACACTGTAAACACCTAGCATGCTCACAGCCTTGGGTTCAAGTCTGTGTATCACACTTCAGCATTTCATCTCCAGAAAAAGAAAAAGGGAGAAAAAAGGGGAAAATGTGTATTTTAAAATTGTTGGTAAAGCTCGGTGTGGTGGTGTGTGCCTATAACCCCAGCACGCAGGACACTGAGGCAGGAGTATTGCCAAGAATAGCCAGCCTGGGCTATATAGTGTGGATTTGCCTCAAAAAAAAGGTGATAGCAAAGTAACATATCCTTAGTATAGAATACTTAAATATAGAGTCAGGTGCATGCCTACAATCCTAGCACTTGGGAAGCTGAGGCAGGAGGATCACTACGAGTTCACATAGTTCAAGGCCAAACTGAACTACATAGTGATATCTGTTTCAAAAAAACCAAACCAAAACAACCAAAAAATTATCACTTAAATATGGAAATGTCTAAGATAAAAAGAA